GGGTTCCGGTCTTGTTCACTGTTTTTGTTCTTTAAAATATCTATTTCTTCCCATTCAAGAAGTCTCCTTTCTCACTCACTCGCAGCTCCAACGACCAACTACAAGCTACCCCCACCTTCCGTATTTCAGAATCGAAAACAAATTAAGGTGATTCTTCTTTGTATAGCTCATTTCGATTGTTTGTGAGCGGTGATATTCTGGGTTTGTTGGGGTTTTTTTTCCTGAATTTATTTTTATGTCCCAATTCTAACAACTTAGGAGATTTCCAAATTCATCATCTTGAGTATATTTGGAAAATTGATTATCTTGTTCAATTTTGAGGCTTTCAACGCTCAATCTTGGATTCTGATGCTAAAACTTGTCATATATTGTCAGCAAAAAGGAGGGTCATACTCGTATCTGCAAAAGAGGCCAAAAAAAAAAAGTTTCAGCTTCTGCGAAACAAAAAGGAGATATTATGAGCAGCTCGTTGCCACGCTTTCCTGTGCCTCATAAGACGCTCTCTTTGGAAATTAAGGTTTTTTTTTTCCCTCGTCAAATATGTTTATTTGAAGTTGATATATTCAGGAATTTGTCAATAAATAGGATGCTTTATCATCTTCTGATCCTTCTACGTCATATCTTGCATTGCAAAATGTTCTCTTTTTTTAATTAAAAAAAAGCAAAAAGTTTTGGTTATTGAAACTGTAGAGAAGTATGAATGGTTCAAACAACTAGTTTATTTGTATTGGTTTTTAATTCTCATGGCATATGTTTCATAGCAAAGTGGTTTTGGTTTTTAATAAGAAGTTTTGCTGGTCTAAAGTATAGAAAAGAATGAAAAGTTAAAAAACTATTTGATTGTGGCGCGTGTCGGTGTTTCGAAGTCTCAGTGGCATAGATTGTTCTTTGCAGGGGAAAAAGACAGATATTGTCATCTGCAGTTATGATGATCATTTCTTTGTAAGTTCTTGATCCCAGTATCTGTTTGGATTATGGTTGTGGAGTATTCGCTGTTTATACTTAACTTCAATGTTATATGGGTTGCACTCTCTCTCTCTCTCTCTCTCTCTCTCTCTCTGTCTTTCTTTCTTTCAGTTTATAGCAACTCAAATAGGAACTATGGGCACAATACTGCACGCCAGGTCTGTATATTATTCTTACGATGTCTGATTAAAGCTTGACTATACTTAATTGATTGATTTTAGCATCTAAAGGTGGATATATTTCACTTCCAGGAAGGATGAAGGAGTCTTGACCCAACCAACATTCGACGTGTCTGTTATTTTTGGCAAAAGGGACGAAGTAAGCTAGGATCTTGAATTAGTAGTAGTAGTAGTAGTAGTAGTAGTGTTTCAACTTAAAGTTTGATAACTGATTTATGCTTATTTTTAACTTGCTGCAATTGGTGCAGCCAATGCTAGTGGCATGCGCTCGTCAGCTGATAGAGCACATTAGGTAAGTGTCATTTCCAGTTCGACATATTAGATTTAGAGGTATTATATCTTTTTTCCTACATCATATGCTTCATTCCCTGGTTTCATCCAATCATTTTTGCAGTGTGTCCGGTGCTGCCAGGCCGTTAGTCCTCTCTCTTGGCCTGAAAGACCATTCTGCGGTACGAAAACTAACGGAATCTGTTGGAACTAACTTGGTTGGTTAGATATAAAGTAGAACTCCTGTTTCATGATCTTTTTGCTAATTTAATGCAGGAGACACTGAAGGGTATTGTTACTGCCGTGGTCGAGAATCGTCTTTGGTGACATGATGTTGCTTCAATAGTTATTAGAGGTAAACGTTGATGGATTAGCTATTGCTTGTACAAGGACTGCAGAAGAACGCAAAAGGCCTTGTTGGCACTTTCTAGAACCCATTTTGGTTTACGAAGAATTTTAAATTTCTAGAACAGATTTTTCTTGAAGATGAGATCCAAGCCTAAGAAAATGAGACATTGTTGGATATGGTGTGAGATCATAGCATAATCTCTCTACTTTCGATCCAGATGAATGGCATTCTTTCCTTTGTTATCCACAACTCTGTCTTATTAATTAATATATTATTTTCAGCAGAAAAATAATTTTGTGTCCTTTGGCTCATAATTTGAACCACAATTCAAACCCCTTTTGTTAAAGTGTTTTCTCTCACGAAAATTTAAATATCTACTCGAACTTATGAACCAAACAGGCCATTACATATGGATAGTGCCATCATATACAAATGAGTGTGTTTGTATGCGGGTGCGTGAAGTGCTCTTCTTGGATCCTCTGGTGCATTACAAACATCTTCAGAAACAGCAGGGAATGTTCTTGAACCTAGAGTTTCTGGTTGACACACGCTTGGTGCCTCCTTTTCGTGCCCTTCTTTGGGAGATCTCAGCTGAATAGACTGTTTGTATCATCATACCGTTCATTGATACATTCACGATTCGTCTCAAGAGATTTACTGTTTGTATCAATATTTTTTTTACTACTGACATTATAGATACACATTCATTTTTGAGAAATTTCTTCCAAGCTATTATAACGGATTCATAGTACATACATCCATCAAATAAAAGCGTGAAAGGGAACAAATCAAGAAACGAACTGATCATATAAAGCTTAGAGTAAGCAAATGGAATCAGTTTCATCAGCTGGAAACAACATTTGCATCGATAGAGAGATCACTAATTAGTGTCAGCATTTAGCATATACCAAACAATACTAACATGACATAATGCATATTTTGCATCAAGGTTAGAGGGAGTCCAGCGTCTAAGTAGACGACTAATTAGAGTTTAACTAAAAAAGGATGCAACGCTAAGAAAGTTATAGTACACACCACTACTTTACTACTAAATAGAGTACTTAGGAAGAGAGTTGGTCCATTGTGAATGGCATTAGAGCGACAACTCTGGTGATGGTTGTGGTGGCGGAAAGCGGAAAGACTGGATGCCCCATTGGCCGATGTTATCAGATTCATATCCGCCGCCAATGTTTTCCTGATACATTGGCCCGTATGGTGAATCCTCACGCTGTGCAGCCTTCATTATTAGCACATAAAGCAGTAAAAGAAAATGACGATCAATTGAAATTAATATCATGGTCTTGGAAATGTTCAGTAATTTCACATTATAATCAACCCAATAAATTGTTCAAAAACTTAGGGAATTTTTAAAACGAATTGGAATCAAGGTTCGATAACTTAGTAGTATACTTACGATCTCATGGAGAAGACGAAAGTATCTATCCTCCAAGCTTTTTACCTGTGATGAAATGGAGATAATCAAAGGCAGGAGGGTTGAAAACGCAACTAGATCAACCTAAAGTAAAATAATGTAAAAACTTTCTAACCTTCTTCTTGGTTGTATCGGTTTGAGTTTTGATCTTGTGTTTCTGAAAGTATGGGACAAGAAAATCATCTCATATTCTGATAATCAGTTTCAACAAGCAATGACCAAAAAATTATCTCGGATTTAATCTTTAGGTAAAGCCAACTAGGGAGAAAAATCTAAATTTTAAGGATCAACTAGTGAAACAAAACGCTGATAACAAGCGATTCCTATACATCATATCATATTTTACTTGAAAGGCCTTTACATTAGTCAGGTAAGTAAGGATTCTCACATAATAGACTAACACAAAATGATGACTTTAAGCACTTAACTCTATTTGGAACTCAAGAAGCGTGTTACTAAAGAGAATACTACTTGTTTTGTGTACTCGTGTTAAGATATTTTGTTTATAATTTTGAGGATTCATCCAATTATTGCTTTTAATTTCCCACCATGAAAGAAGAAAATAAAATAAAAATAAGTGAGCATGTTAATGGGTTACCTAAGAGAGATTAATTTGCAGATCAATCAACCACATATTCAAAAGGCACAAGTTTCAAATATTCTAGCTCAATAAAATATCGAAAAAAAATGTGATGACCATATATAAGAAACTTTAGTATATAGCACAAGATTCAACCCTTTTCTCACGTATAGCTTCCACTGCAGATGACATACTGTCTTCAAGATCACGCAGCTCAAACCAGTTCAGACCACTCAGATCATAACCCATTCTCTGCCTGTTTAAAAATATATAAAAATAAATAAATAAGCCCATTAACAATTCATTAAAAAAAAAAAAACCACTTTTTTTTAGTGGTCATATGTAATTCATTACCTGATCTCTCTCTTACGTTCGTCGTTCTTCTCTCTGTGTTCCCGTAAGTTTTTTTGCATTTTCTACAGCATATAAATTTGTACGCATGAGTACATCATGACTTCAAAAAATTTGCTTTATTAAAAGAATTAATAATAATTATCCCAAGATTTGATTTTTTTTTTATTTTTAATTTCAGATCCAGAAACAGTGAGAACGGATCCACACACAGACCAGAAAAAAAAAAGCGCCTTAAAAGTTTCAAAAGAGAGATCAATAGACGATCATGATCAGAACAACCTCATAAAGAGTCTTCCACACGTCGATCCCTTTGGCTCTCTGATACCTGTCGAGCATCTCCTTAGTCCTGCAGATTCATCAATCACCAACAACCTCAAGATATCATATCATTAAATATAACGCGTGTGTATATATATGTATCATGTATGTGTATATATATATATATGTAGCTCAAAAAATTAATATTAATTGTTGGACTTACGAGGAACCAGGGGTGCAAAACTCGTGCACTCTGGTGGCGTTGCGAGGGATCATGATGATGGAGACCTTGGCGTCGCAGAGGACGGAGAGCTCGCTAGCTTTCTTGAATATCCCATTTCGTCGTTTCGAATAAGTCACTTGCCTGTTCGTCTGGTTCTCAATCATCTTGCACTGGATCTTTCCTCGTCCCATTTTAATTGGCTTCTTCTGATCATGATCTTGATCATCATGATCATGATCATGATGATCCTCTTCGCCGTGATGTATGAGATCAATGTCGGATTTAAAATCCATTTGTTTTTGCAAGTAATTAGGGTTTGAAGGTGGAGATTTTTTTAGAAAAGGTAAAGAAGAAGGAATCAGGCGAATAATAATAATAATAAGTGGGGTTTCTGATCTGATCTGTTGGACTTGGGAAAAGAAAGTTACGTTGTAGTTTAACCCAGAATGTCTTTAGGCAATATTAATATTGGTGGGGAGTTAGGGCTTTGGGCAGAGTAAATCGTACTTTTGTTTGTGACAGGACGCAAACCGCGATAAGGACATTAAATGAAAAACGTCCTTGTTCTGCGTGCATGTAGTTTTTATGTTTATGTTAATATGCATGTACGTTTAACAATATTTATCATTGATACATGATTATTGTTATTATTAATCTTTATTTAGCGGACGTGTGATTTCTTTTCAATGTATTGAGTTCGGATTTTAGTCTTAAATGATACATCACTAACCAAAAAAAAAAAAAAATGGGCGGAAATTTTTGAAGAATGAAAGTACTAATTAATTAAGTACTAGTTAAGTAACAGGCTGATCATGTGAACAGTCGAATGCAAGCGCGCAACTGAGATTAAGCTTGGTTGGTTTTTTTTGTTTTTGTTTTTTTGTTTTTTTTTTGTTTCCTTAAATGGATACTCTTTTTGACTAATGAAATTCATGACATGACTAATTTGTGACTGTTTTTGACAGAGGAGGCTGCTTAAGCAAAAATGGTTCGTAACCAGATTACTTAAATTGGGCGTAATCGATCGAGTATGTCGAGCTGCCTAACTTCCTTATTATCCTGGGGTGTATACCAAGACACACTATTAGCCACTGAGTTTGACTCTCCTCTCATCTGCAAATGGAGTCAAATGTGTGTTTTTAGATGGGCAAGTTTTAATATAGAAATAGTAAAAAATAGGCTAATATGAAAAGTTTAAAGAAGTATGTAGGCCAACTTTTAGTTATAGAAATTAATAGGCCATAACTTGTTAAGTTATGGTTTATAACGTTATGGACAAACTTGTCAAGTTATGGTGCATAGCCAGACAAGTTATGGACAAAAACCGTGATTTATGGACAATAACTTGTCAAGTTATAGTTATAACAAGTTATGGACAAAACCAGTAATTTGGCATATTTATTAACTTATGTAAACTATTGGCCTATTAATTTTAATTCATCTCAAGTCTTGGCATATTTCCCTCTTTCTCCCTTTTTAATACCTTTTGAAATGGAGTCCCTTTTATTTTTATCTCTTAATATTAACTTATATATTTTTATCTTTTAAGTTAGAACTATTTAAGGAATATAGTTTTTTAAAAGGAATATTTTTAGTAAATCAAGTACTTAAGGAGGGTAAAATCTATAATTTTCTCTTTTTATAATTGGAAAGGGAACTTCAAACATGTTCTTTTTACAGTTCGAGGTGAGTACTTGAGTTGAAAATAAATTTATATAAGAGAAAATATTATAACAAAAAAGTAAAATTTAAATTTTTATGAGAAAAACTACTATAACAAAAAGTTTGAGTTATGATTTGAATTATGGAAAGAATGAGGCCTTCAAGTCTGTTTTGTCTTCTTCTTCTTCTTCTTTTTCTCCCCTTGTTTTGTTTTGTTTCTATAAGGGGGAAAAAAAAAGAAATACCAAATACAAAGTATTATTTATGCCACTACATTAAAAAATAAACAATCATTAACATAAATAATAGGTTTCCACAAAACCTTAACAAACCATGTAATTTTTTTTTTTTTTATAATTTGGATTTTCCTTTTTAAGTTAGACATATAAGGCCTAAGATTTTGTTTTCAATTTATAATTGTTATGTTTTTTTTTTTTTTTTTTTTGGAAAAAGCAGTGCGTAATATATATGAACATACATATATATATATATATATATATAATTATGGAGAGATGTATTGGGCAATCGTCATTCCAATTTTAATATTAACAAGCAAGCATTATCTTATTCATATAACATCATGTTAAGATCATTTTGAAGTAGAACGTTATAACTAATTTTACTAGTTTAGACATGTAATGAACATATTAGTGAGGAAAGAAATGAAACAATGTGATTTGAAGAAAATAAACTACTTTTGTATTTCTTTTTTTGTCCATTGTGATTTTGTAAGTAAGTCTGAGAGTGCAACCTGACAGGGAAGAATGGTTTGCTGCAATACAAGGGTGAGTTTCATGGACCTGAAATAAACAATATCTGGTCTCTCGGGACGGCGACAATAGCAAGAACGGCGTCTAGTCATCCAGATAAAACGACAACAATCGTGAAAAATGAAAATGCATGAGTAAACGTCAAATACTTTGAGAAACGGCATAACATGAAGAAACGACAGCAAACTAATAAACGACAAACTATGAATCAAACAAGAGCTAAAATGATATCATTAGGGAAAAAATTATTACTCTTTTAGAGGGAGAGAATTATTAAACTTATTCTTAAAATGTATAGATTTAGACTTTTATCCCTTATTTTTTATAAATACCTTTTGACTAATATAATTATTTAATTAAAAATATTAATTAATAGTAAGAGGTAAAAATTCAGATTTATACACTTTACGGTATATTTATCTTTTTTTTCCCTTCAAAAAAGATAAGCTTATTAGAAAGGAAAGAGGAGATAAATACCCTCTTAGAATGTATGAGTCTAAATTTTTACTCTTTATTGAAACTACAAAATAGTAAAAAAGACAATTATCAAGAGATGGTGTCACTTGGTGAAACATTAGTAAAGTTAGAGAATCGACGTGGACTCAGAACACAACATGATATCAGAAAACGACGATAAAATGAGAAACAACAGGAAGAGAGACAACGACAGTATGAAAGGAATGTCAATGTATCAAAACGACTTCAACATCAATTGAAAGTGGTGCATTCTGGCGGTTGGGGTTGTTTCAGTACTTAATTATATAAGCCTTGCACCAGTGGAAAATCATATGTCAATGTACCAAAACAACTTTAACATCAATTCATTGTCAATACCTGAGTCGCAGCATCAAGGTCTTACCCACATGAAACGACATCAAACTAAGAAAAATTATAGCACATCGAAACAAGGGCCGAACCGAAAACGGCGTTACGGCCATTACCTTGGATGAAAAAACATGAAAGAAACAACAATCTAACTTTTTTGCTACAGTAAAAAGCTCTTAAAAACAGTCACATTTAGCTTTTTTACTACAGTAAAAAACTCACATAAAATCACATCTAAACTCGAATTAAAAACTTGAATCGGTGAAATGAACGGGACTTAAGAAAGCAACCTTAAGAATACATAAAACGACATCACGACATTAGACGTGTAACAATACAAATAAAGACAACAAAATGTGAGACGACATAATTACTGGGGGAAATGACAGTTTGAGAAAACGACATTGTAGAAGAAACAATCTTGAAAAATGAAAATACCTGGGGAAAAAGAACAAAAAACGAATATAGGACAAATAGTTTTTGAAAGGACACAATCTTATGATACGACATCCACTTAGAATATGATAGCAGTCAGCAGATAAATAAGACGATATCATATTAGAAAAAGACAACAATATACAGAAGTGATAACATAAATGCGACACAGGGCATCATTTTAAAACAGTACCATCATAGTTCTTCTTGCCATTGATTTTTCTATCAGCTGGAATATCGTTTCGTTATGTTGTCGTTTTTATTTTGTCGTCTTCTTTAGAGTTGTTTTCGTTTCCAAATTTGGTGTCGTTTTTATGGGTTGCTTCCATTTCTTCTGGCGCTGCTATTTTCCAATGTTCTCGTCGTTTTTAATTTTATTCTTGTCGTTTGTTCTTCGGTTGTCGAATTCCAAGTTGACATCCTTTCCCAGTTGTGTTTTTGTTTTTTTAATGTGTTTTTTCATTTTATTTATCAATTGGCAGGTAGCAGTTGTTGAATCTGAAATCTAAAGAGAAAGGGATGCTCCTTAAAAAAAAAAAAAGGTTAAGGATTATAACATGGGTGGACAAAAAAACAAAGGGGAAATATGTAGACATAATCAAAAGAAATCAAAAAATGTATACAACTAAACGTACGAAATGAACTAATGTAATTCCTCCAACTTCTTTCTTATGTGTTTCTTATTTCTAGCTAGCTGACATAATTCTTTTAAATTCATTCCAAAGAGAAAAGAAAAGAAAATCTTATATATATATATTGCAACAGCAAAATATTAATATGAAGTTGTCAGTGACCAATTTTAATATAAACCTCAGAATTTGGTCCTTAGTTTTAATTCACGTGAAGATATTTTTTGGAATTCTTATGCCGTTATTTCCTTAACTTTTGCTGAAGATCAGGACAAGCGTGCAAAAAGTTATTTTTAGCAACACATACAATGCTAGCTCATTTATTGGCAACATTATCTATTCAAGGCTCATTCATTCACTATAGTGGGATTTGCCAACTCTTCTTTTTTGCTTCTCTTCCTGGGATATCAGTCGGTACTCAAACAGTAAACAAAATTAAACTACAGGAATTTCTTCCTTTTTGAAAGCCAACAAGTACCGCACTCTATAAAGCAAGACTTAAAAGGCAACTTCTTTAATTTAAACCAACTCAGATGTCCATATTGCCCACATACATAGTGCAGCCTTCCACAATAATATTCAAGGCATATATATATATATATATATATATATATATCTTGCCAGCTAATTCATTGGCAACATTATAGCTTGATACCTGAAATATATATATAAAAATAAATGTACATGGCACTATTATTTCTTGATTTTTTTTTTTTTTTTTGGATTTTATATAAACTGGTTGTAGGGTATGCATATTTGTTCATGCTAGCATATTGCTTTCGACAATTAAATATTTTTTTATGGCAAATTACCCGCAAAGAATGCTAGCCATGAATTACTACATTATTAGGCCACGGGAAGCTTTTATTTATTATGGCCCTAGCTAGCCTCACTTCTTGTGTCGGTGCAAACTGTAATTTTCTTTTTTTTTTTTTAAATAAACACATCTCCATATTTGATGTGACACCTTATATCTAAACAACTACATAAATGATGTCGTCAAACAGAAGCTTTGAAATGCAGAATAAAAATAATTTTAATTTATTGAACAGTAACTTTGATAAACTAAATATATGTATGTACAAAGATCTCTTTCTTTTTATATTAGGAGTTAATTTGGACGAAAATCCCACCACCCGCTATTGGCAGTCGTTATCCTGATTATAATTGGTTGTAGTTCAAAAAGAAGTCCGCGTATAAAAAGGGTTCTGTCTGCTCTTTGATTTGATCAACATGAGATACAACCGCATACATATATATATATATATATATGTATATATAGATGAATTTTAATAAATAATTACGTTTATATGGTGGTTATCGATCTATCACATATAAAAATATGATGATGTGGTGGATTTGTAAATATATATGTATATGTATATGTATATAAACACATACTTGACAAGAAATACAATTCGGTCAAGATTCATGTGTGACATTGTATTCAACATTATGTCTAGATATAGTAGTTATCTAATTCTTGTTTATGATTTGCCTTTGAACCGACCCTAGAAAGTTTGTTCAACCTTAAGAAAGGTTCAAACCTAATTTCATCACTCAAACTCATGATGGTGATGACCGTCAAAAGTTGTTTTGTTGATAAGTTGCTTTATGCTTTCAAACCTACCGTATTAATGTTAACAAAGGAGTAACATATAACATTAACATATTTATCTGAAGCCTAAAAGTTGTTTACTCTCTTTGACTAATCGATAACATTATACATAAGAATAAAGGTGAACCGGCCGGTTTTCTCCAAGAAAACATTGATGTGGAAATATATATTGGTCCAAGTATCGAACGTTTTTCATGTAAAGATGCCACGTTGAACGTCAAAAATTAAGCAAACGGCATCATTACAAATGGAAGGGTTCCAATGCTGGGTCATAGTCAGAAAAGAGAAAGTGATGTGTGTGTGTCTATAATATATACATATAATATATATATATATACATATATATATATAAACTAACGATAAACTGATCATTAGATGTGTAATGGGGCAATGTTTTAAGTATTAATGCTGTAGTTTGAACTTTTAAATTAGTATTCACAAGGCTTTGGATTTAAGTACAAAGATAGAGGTTTCAGTTTCAATGGAAAAAAAAAAAGAAAAAAAAAATGAGGAATATAGCAGTAAACAGTTCCGTACGTGAAAACCAAAGATAAGTTTGATTAGCTTATAAAAAATCAAAATCAAATTGTGGCATTCACATCACACGTGTGCACAAAACTTATTTTCTTTCGTTATCCTTTTTCCTCTTTAGCTAGCCTTCAAAGCATTAAGAACCAAATTTAGAAAGGCGCTAATATATATATATAATTATAGTAATTAGAAATTTCGACATTTTAAAGTTATAATTTGAATTAATTACTGTATTACACGTATATTAGTTTCACACAAGTTCTAAATCAGTCAATTTACTACCCTACATATAATATTTAATTCGACAAAAGAAACCCGTACTAAAAATAATTCAAGACCATTTTCATGAACAACCGACTGTACGTAAAGACATATCACATTCTACCTGCCGGTACTCACATAATTTCCCAGTGAATATATATATATATATATATGGTCATTCGTGGTGGTTTCTCATTCGTTTGAGAGAAAAGATCCAAACTTTGAAGGGAGATATATATATATATATATATATATATATATATGGATACAATAAGGACCACAATAAAAAGGCTCTTCGTTGCCCCATTCACAGGCAACAAAGTCCCGTAGCATCAACTTGTTTGGCTACTAATTATATTGCTAAAAAATGGAAGAAGCCAACCACAGTACACCCGTGGTATAATGACAAGAGTAGTATTTTGTTCGTAGCCCACATGCGGGGTCTGTAAAGAATATGGTCTCACTTGTTGGGGGGGGAAAAAATGCTTTACAACATTAAGCCTTAAATTCTCCGACACATGGAATAATTTCTTCATGTTATTGCCTTCAAGGCATCCAATTCTTGTTTGTTCTTCTCTCGTTAATTTAAGCACCCGATTCTACTATAGTAGGAATGATATATAATTTTCCGTTTGATTTATAGATTTAAGCAATTTAAAATTTTACAAGAGAATGTAGCAAAAAGATTAAGGAGTTGTTTGGTTGGGGGATTTGTACCCCGATTCGAATCATGGTTCGTGGTTCGCTACAATGTTTTCTCTCACAAAAAATACACGTAAATCGAAAATTATTCTAATATCATGATTCTAATCCATGAATCAAACGTCTCCTTAATATATGATTTAAATCTATGAAATAAACGAGTATAATTTCTTTTAATCGGATTAATGTACCTAGGGATTACGAGTCATTATTATCATTTTTTTGGTTAGTGTTGTATAGTGGATTATTGATGTTTCTTGAAATTTTTACCTTCTTCTTTGTCCATTTTCTTATTTGTGTCGTCCCAGAAATCCGTGAAATCTAGGTTGTCGTTTAACGTGATCGTGCTTCTTCTACCCTACAAATTGGAGTTCGTGATATATTGTTACTTATAGGTAACAATATTTTGTCATCTTTACAAACCACGACATACGAGTCTATGCATTCTTTTAGATTGCACTGAATTCAAGCTTCGTACAACAAGAAATTTTCAATCCTACTTTTCCTTACAAGCTTTATTATTATTATTATTATTATTATTATTATTATTTTGTCCCTCAACTACAAACAAGTCGCTCCATCAAATAGTATTTATCATCCATTTGTTTTTGCCCGGGAAAATTCTCAAGTAGTGCTATGTAAAAAACTAAAAAGACAAGCTCTTTTTCATCCACTTCACCGTAAGAGCACTAAGTCTATAGTCTCTCAAAGCTGGTAAGCTTTTCGCTTTTGCACACGAGTGGTCCCTATATTATACCAAAATTATGTCAGTCACGTGCTTCTTCTTTTTTTTTTTTTTTTTTTTGAAAAAAAAATCATTCCAACTTTATAATTATCGAAATTTACTTAAATTGTATACCCTTTTCTGTGAACAAAAAACCCTTTTAACATCATTCTCAAATAGCAAAATATTCCAGTGGGGTTTGGCGCAGGATTGACCTGAAAGATCTTGATTTATTTATGGCCCTAATTCTGCTTTTATTTCTTAAGTTGTATTAATTTTCTGAAGGTTTTTTTTTTTCTTTTTTTTTTGTTGGTGGAAAAGTTATAATCATTACTAGTGTAAACTATAGTGGACAGTAAAGATGAAAGTCATATGAAATGTTTAGTAAAGTAAGAACCGAGCAAATAATCTAAGACTTAAAATCCCGTGATTTCAGAACATTTTGTCCCATAATCATAGTAACCTCTCACCCTTTCTGTGCCGAAGTTTGTAAATTAATGCAACAATCAAAAGTAATCTTTTTAAAAGTAACTTAATTATTTCTTCTTCTTTTTTTTTTTTTAACTTGTTTCATTAACAATTTTGTTTGAATAAAGAATTCCACAACCATCCTAAGCTAGAAGATATAGACTGTGTGAGAATCTTTGTACCAGCTTTCTCCCAAAGATCACCAATATCACATCAATTTTATTTTATGTATTTTCCCTTCAACTAAGAATGTGTGTAACGATTTAAATATATATTTTAAGAAAAATACAAACAACTTGCATGCCTAGATATAGAGAACTAAAAAAGGTTATTTGCCTAAATTTTATCAAAATTATTGTTTGGATTGCTCATCGAGTTTCTAAACCTAGTTACCTACTATATATTCCACCTCAAACTCTTATCACTTTTCACGTGATCACACAACATAGGTGAAATATAACATTCTTATGATGCTTTAAAGTTTAAACAGGAGATTTATCTTAAGATTATATATAATATATAAGTGTGTACATAAATATTATAGAACCATTCTTATGTTAATGAGCAAAGAAAATACGTCAAAAAGTGATAAGATTGCGGAATATAAATCCCAAAGAAGAAGTAATGATCAAAGCCACGAAGTAAATCACGTGTAAAAGCACCAAAAATTTTGGTATCTAATTATTTCGATAATAACGTAACTCATGTAAAACCACCCTTCACGGAACATACACCGTGTTATTGTAATTGTCTTTATTTTATTATTTTTTAAATGGAGTAATCTTTTTTTTTTTTTTTTGGTAACATTAATGATGTAAATTTTTACTTCTTGACCCACCAACACCTTTCCTTTTTTCCTTTTCTCCTTGTAATGTGAATAAACTTGGACACAAATCACTGGAACGCAAAATCTGAGTACTTGATAAATCATTAAGGGGACGTTTGTTTTCTGTATTCGTTCTTGATTTTGAATCATAATTCATGATTTTCTACAGTGTTTTTTTTAACAAAAAACACAAGTAAAATAAAAAAAATTCTGAATTTATGAACTAAACGCTCACTAACACATTCTTTTTCTCCAAGTAAAGATATGTTTTTTTAGTGTTGCCATTCAAATTAACTTCACGTTTAATCGAGACTTTAAACGAGTAAATGGTAAAGACGTATACTTTAGACATTTTGTTGAAAAATGTTATTGGTTAATTGTACGGCAAAGAATTGAGAATCCTCTTGCTTTTCTTTCTTCTATCATTCTAGGTAAAGTAAAAAAAATGAAAAATAGAAGGGAAGATAAATGAATGTTGCCACGTATTACACGCGCCGAACAATGAAAGTGGGAAAGATCTCTACTGTATAAATCTGGGATGAAGATTCTCTGTATATTACAAATCTAATAGTTTATATAAACTAACGCCGTTTTCCAACTTCAATCTTATTTTATGTACACTGAATACGGAGTGAAAAAAATCGAAAATATATATAAGACAAAGAGTAACTACTTCTTACACGCGCCAACTCTCGCACGTGCGTCAGAACCCCGTTAGTCGTTGACAATCGGGTGACGGCGGCATAGACGGCGGTGACCTCAACTTTTGGAAGTAGTCACGAATATCAAAGCCAGCCGCCGTTGACCTCTCCGTTAAATCAGCGTCGTCACGCGACGGAATAAACGGAGGCCGTGAGACCTCCGTGAGTAGGTCCCACCTGACGCCGCGAAAGAAATCGTGTTCCTTGATCTCGCACGCGCCTCGGGAGTAGCCAAGGCGTCTGGTGGGGTCCTTCTCGAGCAACCGTCGGATCAGGTCCGTTAGGGCCGTGGGCTTTCCGATGAACTCGGGCTGTTTCACCAGCACGTTTCGAAACGTCTCCTTCCGATTCTTCCCCTTAAACGGCGTCGTCCCGTACATCATCTCGTACGTCAGAATCCCTAGGGCCCACCAGTCCACCGCGAACTCGTGCCCTTCCCCACGCACCACCTCCGGCGACACGTACTCCTCCGTCCCGACGAACGAGTTTGACCGCTCTCCGTTCGAGAAACTCGTCTTCCGCCGACTCACCGGGCTGACTCGGGCCGATTTCGTTTTCTTCAATCCCGCGCTTGTGTGGTAATCGCCGGCGGTTACGGAGCTGAGCCAGCGCGTGAGGTTCCTCCGATGTTTACGGCGAATTTCTCTCACAGTCGCTGCCGATGCAGACTCGTCCTCCGAGGAAATGACGGTTACAACGGCCGTACGGCGCTTGAGGCTACGGGAGAGGTCGAAGTCGGTGAGAGTCACGTGACCGGAGTGCTGAATGAGGACGTTCTCTGGCTTGAGGTCACGGTAGGCGATCCCCATGGAATGGAGGTGGTCGAGAGCGCAGACGATCTCTGCCAGGTAGAAGCGGATGACGGCTGGGGAGAAGACGCGGTCCGTCTGGTGGTAGCGGAGGGCGTTGAGGTCGCCGCCGGGGCAGTAGGGGACGGCCCAGCCCAGATAGTCTTGGGCCTCGAACGAGCCCAAGAGAGAAGGCAAGAATGGGTGACCGGAAGACAGTCGGGAGAGGACGGTGATCTCCCAGCGCGCGCGGCGTTCGGCGTCGAGCTTGGTGGGGAGACAGGACTTATCGACCACTTTCAGTGCAAATGGATTGCGAGCTGAGGGATCGGCTGTACGGTCGTAGACCAGAAAGACCGTTCCCATGGCTCCTTTTCCGAGGACTTTCAGAGCCTTGAGGTTTTCCAACTCCAACTCCGGCGAGGATGGTATTGCTATGTCCATTTTCTGTTTCCTTTTGGTGCTATATTCTGTATAGAGAGAGAGAGAGAGAGAGAGAGGAGGGAGATAAGAGAGAGATGGGTCTTCGCGTTGGTTTTTGGCTTTTATAGGCTATATAACAGTTTTTCTTTTTCTTTTTTTTTAAAATATTTTTTTGGTGTATTTTTTGGTGAGATAGTGGAGTGGTGACTGGTTAATGATGCATATTTGTTCTTGGTAATAATGTGTATTTGGTATTTTTGTACGAAATGATTATAAAGTTGGGTCTTGGTAATAATGCGTATTTGGTATTGTTCGTACGAAATGATTATTTAGTTTGTCGTTGGTAATTAGAGGGAATAAAGATCCTGATTATCTGGGCTAATTTTTTGTTTAAAAAGCAACTCGGTGATAATTGCGTGCACTATTACCTTTGCGTTTGCTTTCCACTATGGCATTTATCTATTTGCTCCATTGCTTGCCATGTAAGAGCTTCAAAGGATTTTGGAGCCTTGGAGGCATTACATAATATTTTTTTCAGGCTAAACAGAGAGAAACCTTTTTTAACTTGGTGGGGGATTACTCTATCTCAAATATAATCAGAGCTAAATTTACCGCTAGGTTATTTTTGCAATCACATGAAGAGCGTTTTGTATCCTTTGATCTGTTTTTTTCTCACTTTTTTTTTTTTCAGTTAATTGTTTCTGTTTTTTTTTTTTTTTTTTTTTTTTTTTTCTTTTTTTTT